GGGTAAGGGTGGGCCCGGGCCAGGCGCTGCCCGACGGCGGCCCCGCCGCCCTCCATCTCCTGTGTAGCCATCTGCCCCGGGGCCTCCCGACTCAGTGTGCCCCGGTCGGCTCCCCAGGCCGGTCGTCATGGCTCTGGGCGGACAGCCTGCGGTCTTCGCCGAAGGGTGGCGCGATGCCCGAGGACGGCCTCCCTGAACAGCTGGAGACCCCCTCGGTGAGGGGAGGGCAAGACAGTCGCAATCCCCGCAGGCTCCCGTCGCTGCGGGCGCTGCCCTCACTGCCTAGTACACTGGCGATACTCTTACTATGCAATGACTAATTACGAGTTTTGTTCACAGAGCACAGATGTGTCGAGTCGGCAAAAATCCGAGCGAAATACCCTGACCGTGTCCCGGTGAGTAACCAAGCCAGCTTCAATCTGAGTACTTAGAGGCAAAGGTGAATAAGCTGTTTCCATCCTGCCATCTCTTCGTTGATCAGATCCTGCTAAGTAAATTCATCTTCCCTTTTGTGTCCTTAGACGTTTTAAAGAGACTCCAAACACATCTAATTAATCTAACATTCCCTCTCTGCCCCAGTGCATATTGACAAGTCAGCATGAGTGCCTGACTTTCTAAACACTTTCCAGGCATGTTTATGGTTTATCAGTGTCCTGGTTTCTTCTAATGGTAATTATATCCCAGCAAATACCTTCAGTGTCTTGAGGATTCATTCTGTGCTAGATCCCAAGAAAGATCATAAATGCTTTAAACCTTGACAGTCTTCCATCCTGGCTATGTGAGGAAGGTGATTTTCCCTCATGTATTCCATGCCTGTAACCAGTCTTACCGTGGTGAGTCTCCCCATGCAAACCCTGTTGTTTGAAGATCCAGTGCAAGTGGTGACCCCTCCTTTCTGCATTAATACCTACCTACCGGCTAAATAGTGAATGACCTCTCTTCTTTGCTCCACAATCCCTTTTATCATGTTTCAGTCAGTGAAATGACCACACTTCACATTCTTACGTAACAGCTAGTAACATGTCCACATTCTCAACTTAGCTGCTTGTGAGTAAGATTTCCCACATCCCATCTGACCACATGTCAATTAGTGCCACTCCTGTCTGACCTCTTGGTAAATAATTTATCCATTAGACAGCACAGCCCAGAGAAGAACTTCTAATCCCATGGACTTCCTGTGCTGCTGAGTTGCACCTAGTCACGGCATCTTCTCCAATTGCAGTCTGGCAAGCTGATCCGATCCTTGCCATTCTCTGCTTGGCTAACTACCCCCTCATATATAGACTGTAGCATGCTAGTGACCACACATCTCCAGAGATATCACTTGTGCATTTCAAGAATCTCTTTCACAACCCTAGGAGACAAAGAGACATTGAAATTCATAGTGTGAGTCAAAATTACATGATGCTCTATCAGGAATGGACAGCAAGGTGTGGATGGATACAGGAATTAAATCTCAAATTGCAGTGTGATGCTTTGGCTGGGTTGATACATGTTTTTTGCTTGATGATTCAGATTGAGCCATGTGCCTTTCACAAAATAGTTGGTATCAAATATATTTTTGGCATTTAATAGTCAAAGGTGTTTTTCAGACTCAATGTAAGTTTCCTGCTTTCCAGGTTATAGCCTGCATCCAGTGACATAGGTCAAAGTGACTTCAATTCTCAGCTGCTTTATCTGTCTACCTGGATTTAGAGATGTTTCAGTGCTTCAAACCTATTAATATATGAACAGCCTGCCTCTGCCCTAGGGTAGACCTTATAGCAATAAAATGGGAGGTGAAAGAAATTAATGCTTGCTAAGCACTGCAATTTTAAATTTGTGTGGGGAATCAAGTGGTGTAAGGGTTAAAGGTATCTATAACCTTTACTAGAAGCAGTTCACCAACAGCCTTTGCTTCCAGTTATGACAGTTTCTGCACTATGACGCTAAAATGCCTAGTGTGCTATTGTAATCTTTAAAAAAAAAAAGTATCCGTTGTTAAGGCTTCAGTATTCCTTTCGGGCTGTTCTTGCTCCTCTTTACAGTTCCCTCATACTAAATTGCAAGGGGCAGCTACTATGCCCTCCTTCTGTTTCTGCCAGCAGAGCTGAAGAAATTATAAGGAAAGCCCTCTCCAGATCATAAGATAGCATGTTTTGTAAATTTACTTGAGCATTACCTGTATGCTGTAGCCGTGGGGAATGCAGAGCTAAGGAACGGAGACACTTGAACCTCTTGCAAGCCTTATTTCCCTA